GTGGCTCCTCCGGGGCAGGCACCTGGCCCGCGAGGCTGCACCTGTGCACCCCCGTCCCGCCCCTGCCAGCTGACACGTGCCTTGCCAGCGTGTCTGCTTCCTCATAGGGTGGATCTCGGACAATGTTATAAAACCACGGCCTGACTTAAGACAATGTATTTTAATTAGGTGCTGAGTGTTCTGTGAGTCACTCAGATGATTGGTTCCATTCTAGACTCGGCACCAAACTTTCATTCTAATTGAATTCGAAATTACTTTTAAAACAGAGATCTGGCAGGACAAGCATTCTTAGTTCGGCTCCTGGCAGAGAGGTGCTGCTTCGCCCCGTGTCAGGGCGTTCCAGCCCCGCGGGCTACTGGGGAGCTCTCTTTGGCATTTCCGTCTTTGGTTTGGCTGAAAGCAAGATGCGTCACAGGGCGGCGCCCTGCTGTGGACTCCAGGTGAGGCTGCCTGGCGGCGCCCTCTCCACCTGTGCCCAGCTTGCAGCTGGCGTCCTTCGAGTGCCGGCCTCGTCACCCGGGAAGCCGGGGCACCTGCAGCTCCTGCGTCTCTGCTGTCGCCACGGTCAGCCTTGAACTTGAACGCGGGCTCCCAGGCGGCCTGCAGGGGGGATTCAGACACCGCAGGTGTGAGCGCGGGGGCTGGGCTGCTCTCTCTTGCCAGCCTGTGCCTCTCACTGTCGCGTGACTGTCACCGGGGTTCTGGGAGGGGCACTCGTCGTCCACGCTGGCTCCCCAGCACCTGGAGCTTCGTCGTCTGGACGCCAGGGTGTTCCGTACACATGAGTCACCTGGAGAACAATGCACTTCCTCTTTGCTAGTGCAGGTGCATTCTGCCCGAGGCCTCGGTCCATGGTGGCTTTTACTCTCTTCCTCAAGCGAGAGCAGGCTGGTTCTGGGGGAGGAGGGCGCGCGGGGCAGGGCAGGGCTGTGGCGTCTCGAGGTGCCAGAGGCGGGGAGGGGGGTGTGGAACCAAAGGCCTGACCACAGGTGGCCCCCCACCTGTCACCTCCCACGCCTCCGGGTGGCAGCGCAGCTTCTTACCTGCCGTCTCAGCCCCAGCCTTGTTAGTAAACGTACTCAGGGCTCAGTGAGTCCCTCATTCATTCATCTTAAATTCCTTCTCACTGCCCCTGCTCCCCTGCTCCCAGCCCCTGCCGCCCCGCCCGCCCTTTGCCAGCTCGTTGGGGCGGGGTCCTCGGGCACTCTGGCCTCCCCCAGAGCCCAGGCCCCTCGGTTCCTGGCCCCTGCTGCACTGCATCGCCAGGCACTTCCTTCCGATGGCTCATCGCTCCTGGAGCTCGGCCGTCCTTGTCACACCTCCCCAGCTCCTCCGTCTGTCCCCCCCCAGCCTCTGCTAAGGCCGGTCCCCAGTGCCTGGCCCACTCGGCGTTTCTCTGCCTTCCCGCAGAAGCACCCCCTTGTCAGCCCCCTCGCTGCGTCTCCCCCCGGGCGGGTATTGGCTCTGCCTCTGAAGTCACGTCTCCCCTTTGCATGAAAATCTGAGGTTGCGGATGTTTGTATCAGACAACTGAGCACACACCCTGCACTGTCCCGTATGTCATCGCCACGGCACAGAGCGCTTCCTGTGAGCAGGAGCCGTGCCAGGCGTGGTACACGGATCTGATCGTGGCCTTCCAGGAAAGGGCCCGTGGGCAGGGCACTAACTGACCTGCTCTAGGTGACACAGTCAGCGGGCAAGGCAGGGTGTGACCAGGTGCCACCAAATGACCTGCTCCAGGTGACGCAGTCACTGGGCAAGGCAGGGTGTGACCAGGTGCCACCAAATGACCTGCTCTAGGTGACGCAGTTAGCGGGCAAGGTAGGGTGTGACCAGGTGCCAACTCACCCATCCAGACCGCCTTAAACTTTGGCTGGGGACCCCTTAGGTCCTTGGGATAGGTTTTTGTGGGTTCAATTAAAAACAGATTTTTTCATTTTCATGGTAATCCTAAAAAAAAAACAAAAAACAAATTTTGTCAGTTATAAATGCCATCTCCTTTTATAAAGATAAGATGCATTTTAAGGGTATTTCCTACAATTGGAGTTTGGGGGTCTTAAGTCAAAGTTTCTCAAATCTAGGTCCCTGGGACCCTGGGAGGTAGAGATCACTGGGGAGCGTGGGAACTTTTCTTTAAAAAGCATCCGAGAAAACCGGCCGTGTCTTCCCCTCCCCGTTTGCTCCTGATGACGAGCCAGCGCCGGCCGGGTCCGGAGGGACCTCTGTGTGCTCAGCTTTGAGGGGGACCCCGAGCGCTCCCCGGCGCACCACGCCTCCGAGGCGCCAGCCTCATGGGAGGGTGCGTTTCTGACTTGCGCTGTGCTGGCCCCCAGCACCCAGGGCGCTGTGCCCACGAGTGTCTGCGGCAGAGAGCCCACTCCCGTCCCTCCGCACTCAGGCCCGAGCCAGTCCAGTGAGTGAGGCCTCGCGCCGTGGCCCGGCGTCTCCTGTCAGCCCCTGGCCAGTGCAGACAGGGCACATTGGCCTGAGGGGCCACTTGCCGTCCTCCGCAGCAGCACGGAGCTCAGGCCGTCAGATTCTTCCTGTGAGGGAATCGCTGTCACCTTCTTCTCGTGATGGGGAGGTGACGTGTGTGAATGCTGAAAGCCAGCTGTGAATGATGACAAGCAGATGCGACAGGCAGGCCACATCGCCGTGCGGCTCGGGGTTCGTTTCTGCCCCCTCCTCGCCCCTGCTCACTGATGCTCTCTGCCGCAGACACTCGTGGGCACAGCGCCCTCGGGGCCTGCTTGCAAAGCATGCTCGGACCTGCAGCCAAGGGCTGCAGGCGCCAGTAGGCGCCCGTCTGTGGCCGGCAGGGAGGGCCGGCCCGTGCTCTGCTCCTTCCTGCCCAGCGCGTGGCCCCTCGGGGCCTGCCTGCAAAGCACGCTCGGACCTGCAGCCGAGGGCTGCAGGCGCCAGCGTCCTGCCAGGCGAGAGCCCAGGAGAAGCCCTGTCCTGGGGCTGGCGAAGGCTCAGCAGCGGGGGCCTCCAGACACCGTGGGGGTGTCGCGGTGGGCTGCAGGAAACCACACGGCCGAGCTGCTGACATCACTTTGAGTGGTCACACGTCTCAGGTGGCCATCGGGACGCCAGTGCTGTCCCTGCCAAGCCACACAGGCCGGGTGTGGAGGAGCCCCCAGCCCAGCAGAAGGTGCTCGGCGAGGCCCCTCCGCGGGTGCCGCCTCTGTGTCGTGGAGGAGGGAACTCGGCTGTGGGAAGCGTAAAGCCCGGAGCTCACTTTGTTTCCAGGCACTTAAACCGGTTCACCAGAAGCTGTAAGGTCCGGGATCTGGGCGCTGGGGGCGGCCGAAGCCGTTCGGCAGGCGCCCCCCTGGATCTGGGCGGAGGTGGGGCTGCTCCCCCCAGCTCCTCGGGCCGCACGTCTGGCCGTCGGTGCCCGAATCACACTGGAGTGATTTTTGAGTAAGATGGAGACGGCCCAGCGGCCGGCTTTGTTACTTTTCACGTGTTCGTTCTTCCGTGCATTTAATAAGAGGTGCTTTATTCTACATCAAGACACGTTTGGTCCCCACTAACTTTTATTTCTAGTTCATTCCGTGACATTAGGCAACGCGACACAAATGTCACTCGTGACGTCGCCCACACGCTTCTCCTGCTTTTCCGTTTCTTCCTCCCCCGAGCGTGCGCCGGGGGCTCGTCGCTGGCCAGCGTGTGCTCCGCTTGTCTGTGCGTCACGGGTAAACTGTCCTCCGTGCTGCTCCGCAGCTTTCACATTCTCGACCGCCGGCCTTGCTGGTGGCAGTTCAGCTCTCCCCACTGCCGCCCCCGTGGGGATGAGCAGCCCTGGGGGGCCGAGGGAGGCAGGACGCGTGCTGACTGAGGAAAGCTGTCGACGGCCTCATTTCGGCGTCATTTCCCGTGCTGGCGAGAACACGCAGCCCTCGGCTCACGCGCTGCCACACGTTTGGTGTTTCAGATCCGAAGGACGTCGCCTGCTCCTCCACGCCGGTGGCGGTAAGGACTTGCTCCCTGCTTCCTGTGTCTTCTTGGAGGGTGTCGTCTGCCGGGTGACTGCTGACTGTCACCAGCCTGGTCCTGTCTGTGCAGTGTCCGTGGGGAACAGAGTGGATGTGGCGCCACCTCGCATGGGGGCAGTTTGGGAATGGGGCGAATCACTGCAGTCTGGGGGAGGGACTTCCTCCCGGAGGGTGACCGGAGGCTGGGAACCGGCCATGCCCGGAGGAGCGGGGACATCCTGGCCTCGCCCTGGGCGGACGTCACCGTGTGGCTGCGGAACGGGGTGAAGGTAAGCTGGCTGACAGCGCTTTAAACAGCCGTCCACGCACGTGAGGTGGGCGTCAGCACCGCCTCTCCCGGGCAGCGTGCCGTCTGCTGCCACCTGTCCCTCACCTCCGCGCACGCTCAGCCGCCACAGGGCCCTGCGCTCC